AGTGTAACATCAGTAGGTGTGGTGTTCTCTAAAGACACCACGTCAAGTGTAACATCAGTAGGTGTGGTGTTCTCTAAAGACACCACGTCAAGTGTAACATCAGTAGGTGTGGTGTTCTCTAAAGACACCACGTCAAGTGTAACATCAGTAGGTGTGGTGTTCTCTAAAGACACCACGTCAAGTGTAACATCAGTAGGTGTGGTGTTCTCTAAAGACACCACGTCAAGTGTAACATCAGTAGGTGTGGTGTTCTCTAAAGACACCACGTCAAGTGTAACATCAGTAGGTGTGGTGTTCTCTAAAGACACCACGTCAAGTGTAACATCAGTAGGTGTGGTGTTCTCTAAAGACACCACGTCAAGTGTAACATCAGTAGGTGTGGTGTTCTCTAAAGACACCACGTCAAGTGTAACATCAGTAGGTGTGGTGTTCTCTAAAGACACCACGTCAAGTGTAACATCAGTAGGTGTGGTGTTCTCTAAAGACACCACGTCAAGTGTAACATCAGTAGGTGTGGTGTTCTCTAAAGACACCACGTCAAGTGTAACATCAGTAGGTGTGGTGTTCTCTAAAGACACCACGTCAAGTGTAACATCAGTAGGTGTGGTGTTCTCTAAAGACACCACGTCAAGTGTAACATCAGTAGGTGTGGTGTTCTCTAAAGACACCACGTCAAGTGTAACATCAGTAGGTGTGGTGTTCTCTAAAGACACCACGTCAAGTGTAACATCAGTAGGTGTGGTGTTCTCTAAAGACACCACGTCAAGTGTAACATCAGTAGGTGTGGTGTTCTCTAAAGACACCACGTCAAGTGTAACATCAGTAGGTGTGGTGTTCTCTAAAGACACCACGTCAAGTGTAACATCAGTAGGTGTGGTGTTCTCTAAAGACACCACGTCAAGTGTAACATCAGTAGGTGTGGTGTTCTCTAAAGACACCACGTCAAGTGTAACATCAGTAGGTGTGGTGTTCTCTAAAGACACCACGTCAAGTGTAACATCAGTAGGTGTGGTGTTCTCTAAAGACACCACGTCAAGTGTAACATCAGTAGGTGTGGTGTTCTCTAAAGACACCACGTCAAGTGTAACATCAGTAGGTGTGGTGTTCTCTAAAGACACCACGTCAAGTGTAACATCAGTAGGTGTGGTGTTCTCTAAAGACACCACGTCAAGTGTAACATCAGTAGGTGTGGTGTTCTCTAAAGACACCACGTCAAGTGTAACATCAGTAGGTGTGGTGTTCTCTAAAGACACCACGTCAAGTGTAACATCAGTAGGTGTGGTGTTCTCTAAAGACACCACGTCAAGTGTAACATCAGTAGGTGTGGTGTTCTCTAAAGACACCACGTCAAGTGTAACATCAGTAGGTGTGGTGTTCTCTAAAGACACCACGTCAAGTGTAACATCAGTAGGTGTGGTGTTCTCTAAAGACACCACGTCAAGTGTAACATCAGTAGGTGTGGTGTTCTCTAAAGACACCACGTCAAGTGTAACATCAGTAGGTGTGGTGTTCTCTAAAGACACCACGTCAAGTGTAACATCAGTAGGTGTGGTGTTCTCTAAAGACACCACGTCAAGTGTAACATCAGTAGGTGTGGTGTTCTCTAAAGACACCACGTCAAGTGTAACATCAGTAGGTGTGGTGTTCTCTAAAGACACCACGTCAAGTGTAACATCAGTAGGTGTGGTGTTCTCTAAAGACACCACGTCAAGTGTAACATCAGTAGGTGTGGTGTTCTCTAAAGACACCACGTCAAGTGTAACATCAGTAGGTGTGGTGTTCTCTAAAGACACCACGTCAAGTGTAACATCAGTAGGTGTGGTGTTCTCTAAAGACACCACGTCAAGTGTAACATCAGTAGGTGTGGTGTTCTCTAAAGACACCACGTCAAGTGTAACATCAGTAGGTGTGGTGTTCTCTAAAGACACCACGTCAAGTGTAACATCAGTAGGTGTGGTGTTCTCTAAAGACACCACGTCAAGTGTAACATCAGTAGGTGTGGTGTTCTCTAAAGACACCACGTCAAGTGTAACATCAGTAGGTGTGGTGTTCTCTAAAGACACCACGTCAAGTGTAACATCAGTGGGTGTGGTGTTCTCTAAAGACACCACGTCAAGTGTAACATCAGTAGGTGTGGTGTTCTCTAAAGACACCACGTCAAGTGTAACATTAGTAGGTGTGGTGTTCTCTAAAGACACCATGTCAAGTGTAATGAAGTCATCTTTTGGAATTGTGATAATGGATATAATTTGTCGGATCTTTTAAATTCTTGACATAGTAGTTAGATTTGCCATATTAGCCAAGAACATAGGCCTGTAAACATTGTAACCGGTGGAACCAAAATAACTTTCGTTTACCACATTACAAACGGTTGTACATGAAACAGCGACGGTCCTAGTGTTTGATGTTTTTTGACAAGCCTTGGCAAAGATTTTGAAGGCCTGGATTAACATTTGCAGGTCCAGCAGGTTTTACACAGGAAATTTTACATTTAGAAAATAGACAAACTGGTTGGTAGGCATAAACAAATAGACCCCTGTATAGTCAGGTCTCAGCAGTTCTGAATCGAGACAAAAGGGCCTGTAGATTCTTGTACATCTATGACAAGGTAATAAAGAAAGGGTACCTATTTTATTGTCACTTGAACAGACATCTTGTACATGATAAACACCCAAGGGTACACAGTCGTTACTGGCTATTTGGATGAAGATGACAGAGTACACACAGTACTTCTCATCCAAACATATGATAAAGAATGTTTCAACACATTAAGAAACAAAAGGACTATGTATGGTTTGGGCCTTTTTTGGCCCCCAAATCCATCAAAATTAAAAATCTGCAATAGAACTTTCAAACGACTGTTTCTTTAATTTTGAATACTTCCCCAGTACTATTATGTAAACATTTATTTGTGTTTTCAATTTTGGCTGCCATTGTAATCAGGTCGTATTTGCATAAATGATTGAAATTTGAATATTCAGTCAACTTTGACAGGTTTTCACCTAGTTAGCTCACCTGGTCCAAAGGACCAAGGTGAGCTTATGCCATACCGTTGCGTCCGTCCGTCCATCCGTCAGTCCGTTTGTCAACAATTTCTTTAAACGACTTCTTCTTCTTAACCACTGATTGGGATTCAACTAAATTTGACTGGAAGCATCCCTAGGTGGTGGGGATTCAAAATTGTACAAATGGTGGGGCTGACCCCCAAGGGGGCTGAGGGGCGGGGCAAAAAGGGGTCAATTTGGCTATATTACTTTAAGCGACTTCTTCTCTGGAACTAAGAAGTTGATATCAACCATATTTGACTGGAAGCATCCCTAGGTGGTGGGGATTCAAAATTGTACAAATGGT